AACTATTAAAATCCAATATCAGGTCCAGTAGGGGTGTTTTAAAAGCACTGAAAAATTTTTTCCATCTAGAATTCATACTACATTCACTTGGCCTCCATGTGACTGCTGTTAATGTTTAACACTTTTTACTTTGATACGTTATCAGGCATGTTATACAAGAGAGCCAAGAGATGGAACACACCCTGGGAAGGTCATTAGTTTAAAAACTGAAAATCTCTGATAGCCGACAGAATTTCAAATATGTTTGATTTTCTCCCTACCTTAGGATTCCTGATCGGGAGGTGGTTGTGAGAGGCTGATCACCACTCGTTACCCGCTGTGCACAAAAATACAAAAATTCTTGCAGGAGTGGAGAATCGGCCCGAAAAGGGCAAAAAACTGTACAGTGCAAGCCCGGTTTTAGTCATTTTGATAGTGGGCTAATATACACAGAGGGCTCTTAGGAGGCTTATAGAAGACTAAAACAGTGTTGCGGCTCTAGATAGATCTGTTTTTTGTTTTGTTGATCCAATATGGCTCTTTGAACATTTTGGGTTGCCGACACCTGGTCTAGGAAACGTTCTGTAGGGATTATTGTACTTAATAATTAAATTTAACAAAAAAAAAAGTCCAGAAATCTTAAAGCTGTGTCCACAACAATAAATGTTTTCAGATTTGTTAATGTTTAGGCATAGATACAATAAAAGCAAGTTACTTCTTAGAAAAATTAAAGCAATGACAAAAAACAGACCTGTAGTGTACAGACATGAATATCAACAAAGCTATAAAAAAAAACAAAAAAAACAGAGCATAGCAAGTCCCTCCCTTTTTTTTTTCTGCTGATCCGCACTAACATTTCCTGGTTCGTTCTCTTTCACTACTCTGACATCTGGGGCTCAGTTGCCTTGAATCAATGTGCCGTGAAGATCTGCAAAGTCTGACTGCAGCGGATTAAAGAGGAAATGCACTGACTGTGTGAAACTTAAAACAGAGGAACTTTTTTGCAGACTTGTGGCTGTTGTTCTGAGGGCAAAATGGCACAACCAGGAAGTCTTGTTAATTCAGGTAAATTTCTTTGTTCGATCTGTCAAGAAATAATGAAGGATCCGGTAACTATTCCCTGTGGACACAGCTACTGTATGAACTGTATCAAAATTCACTGGGATGGAGAAGATCAGAGGAGAATCCAAAGCTGCCCTCAGTGCAGGAAAGAGTTCATACCGAGGCCTATGCTGGTGAAGAACATCGTGTTAGCTGAGTTAGTGGAGGATCTAGAGAAGACTGGAATCCAAGCTGCAGCAGCTGATCACTGCTATGCTGGACCTGAAGATGTGGCCTGTGATGTCTGCACTGGGAGGAAGATGAAAGCTGTTAAATCCTGTCTGATCTGCAGGGCTTCTTACTGTGAGGATCATCTCCAGCCTCACTATGAATCATTAAATTTTAGAAAACATAAACTAGTTCAAGTTTCTACCAAACTTCAGCAAAGGATCTGCACTCTTCATGATGAGGAGATGAAGATCTATTGTCGTACTGATCAGCAGTGTATCTGTTATCTCTGCACTATGGATGAACATAAAGGCCATGAAACAGTCCCAGCCGCGACCGAAAGGGCTGACAGGCAGAAGGAGCTCCAGGAGAGACGACAACAAATCCAGCAGAGAATCCAGGACCAAGAGAAAGATGTGAAGCTGCTTCAACAGGGAGTGGAGGCCATCAACGTAGCTGCTGATAAAGCAGTGGAGAACAGTGAGAAGATCTTCACTGATCTGATCCGTCTCATCCAGAAAAGAAGCTCTGATGTGAAGCAGCAGATCAGATCCCAGCAGGAAACTGAAGTGAGTCGAGTCAAAGAGCTTCAGGAGAAGCTGGAGCAAGAGATCACTGAGCTGAAGAGGAAAGATGCTGAGCTGGAGAAGCTCCTAAAAACAGAGGATCACAACCAGTTTCTCCAGAACTACCCCTCACTGTCAGCACTCAGTGAATCTACACACTCATCCAGGATTGTTCTACCTCTGAGAGACTTTAAGGAAGTGACAGCAGCTGTGTCAGAGCTCAGAGAGAAACTGTTGGACATTTTGAAAGAAAGAATAAAAAGGACAAGAACAATGCCAGTCATGAAAGTGAAAGTCTCACAACCAGAGCCAGAACCTAAAAACAGAGATGACTTCCTGAAATATTCACAAGCGATCACTTTTGACCCAAACACGGCTCACACAGATGTTTCATTGTCTGAGGGGAATAGGAAAGCAACATTAACAAAACAACAACAGCCATATCCTGATCATCGAGACCGATTCACGTATTACGATCAGGTCCTCAGTAAAGACAGTCTGGAAGGACGCTGTTATTGGGAGGTGGAGTGGAAAGGGGAAGGAGTTCGTCTAGCTGTCACTTACAGGAGTATCAGACGAGCAGGGGTCTCAGACCAATCTGCATTCGGACGAAATGACAAATCTTGGGCTTTACGCTGTGACAGGACTGGGTATCAGTTTTGGCACAAAAATACTTTGGATAAAGTATCAGGTCCAGTTTCCTCCAGAATAGGAGTGTATCTAGATCACAGAGCAGGTATTCTGTCTTTCTACAGCGTCTCTGAAACCATGACTCTCCTCCACAGAGTCCAGACCTCATTCACTCAGCCTCTATATGCTGGAGTTTGGCTGTTTAATTATGGGACCACTGCAGAGTTCATTAAGGCTAAATAGGACCGGTCCAGTGACAGGAGGTCATTTAAGTATGATGTCAGCAACAATTTTAGATTGGTGGGCTCATATTTTGGGCTGACGTTGGGTCATAATGACTATGGGCTCTGATAGGTACCCCTCTTTTTAGCTCCCAGAGGCCTAATCGCTAAGTTTTATGCCCTTTAAAGTTTTTGCTACTAGCTGCCTGGCCTGTGTCTGAACAAGCCCCTTGTGTATGTTTGGTTTGTGGGCAGCTGCTCCTTTGCTTTACTGATTACCTCCCTCTTCCAAGTTGTATAGTTGCCCTGGTACCATCCTGTATGCTCATCTGCCTAGAACTGCCGCATTATTTCAGAGCCAAGTCCACCTGTGTGAGTGTTGAAAGCGTTCTACCTCTAGC